TATATGAAAAATATAAAACAAAAATTAATATATTATTAAAATTATTTATTATTAAAATTATTTTTTAAATTAATTTAAATAAGTAGCGAAACAAAAACAGATTAACTGATATAATTAATTTTACTAATAACGTTCAAAACTTTCAAGGAAATAATTTGGAGATTGCAGGAGTGATTTATAAAATATTATGTATGTGTTCTAAACCAAAGTGTTTTATAGGAGAAACAGGTAGATGACTGGAAAAAAGTTAAAGGATCATGAGGCGACAGTACAATTGAAATGGCAAGAATAACCTTGATACTGACATTGTAATATTTATAAATGTAAAACTAATAGAAATGTTAAAATTTTCTATAAAGTTAAAAATTTGATTTAAAAAATGCATTATTGAGCATTACTGTATAGAGAGTCATGCAAATGTGATAAATTTAAATACAGGTATGACTGTAGATGCACCCTGGAACAACATACTTCAGTATAAAAGAACTTCTGTAAACTAATAATATATCCATTGACATTCTCTTTGCACTTTGACAAGAATAAAAAAACTAATGTTTTTGTCATCTTTAACCAAACCAAGTCAACCAAGTGTTTAAAACTAATCAGAAATCATTATCTTTGAAGAAATACTAAAAATGAATTGATATGCAACATTCGCCAGTTAAACATGGTAGACCTCCACTTAACCGGACCAAACTGGGAAGTAACAAGACTCAACCAAGCCCATCTAACTCCATGCTTATAACAGATTTTAACCTAATAGTGGATAAAGACTTATAAAAACCATCCTTAGTAATCAACAATTCTCATATAAACAATATCACAAAGTCTACAAAGTTTTCCATATGAGTCTAATGCATTCTATCCGATCTCTCTGACTAATTCAGGTGACTCACCTGACACTTCAACAACAAATCTACGTTATAAAATCTCGGAACTGATAAATACTTCTAATGACAAGCAATCTACCCAAATGACTTTTATAAAAGACTTGGATGCTTTGATTAATGAACTTCACTATAACAATATAATATTTGTATAATTATGCTAAGTCAAAAAAATATCTCTAAATTAGAATTTCATAAATTTATCAATTGTTCACTAAACCTACATAATGCATCACAAGAAGAGATTCTAAACATCTAGACATAACTCAAATAACCAAATCAACCAATCCAGTCATAAGACTAACATTTAGTAATAAATAGGTTAATGACCAGGTTTTTAATGCCTTTATATCAAAGAAATAACAGAATCTGTTGGAAAATTGGGAAAATATGTAGATCTCACCAGACCTCACTAAGGAATCATGAAAAATATGGAAACACTTCCAACCTGTTATGACATAAGAAAACAAAACTGTCCAATAAAACTACGAAATGATATTTTACTAATAGGCCGAGACAGAATAACATTCGGTATCAATACAGGGAAGTTGGTTTATGTGGATAATTTTTTGCTTTTTGCCAATCTGGGGTGTTCACTATTTATACAAATTAGAAAGTTTTCATATCTACTTCCTCCATAAATTACTCCATTTGGTGAGAACAGTTCCTGGTTATGCTATACATCACGAAACTAATCACATCTGCTCTTTTCCCTTCTTCCTAAAATGAATTATTATATTTTACTAACATTTAAAATTTAAAAGTGACAGCAACATTACCTTTCTACATCAAGTAATAATCAATTATTGTAAGAAACCAACAACAAAGTATCTTTTGCAAAATAAGTGAAATAATATATTAAACTCATTTGGAGTATCAGACCTTTCGTTTAAAGATAATATCCAAGACTGGAAATATAGTTATTAGTGTTGTAACGAATAGTATATTCGGCCTCAGGCCGAATACCGAATATTCGGCCAAGAGCGTGGCCGAATAGCCGAATATTCGGCCAAACTATTCGNAGTGATTAAATATTCCTTATTCGGCCGAATAGTGAAAAATAGGCCAAATAGGCCGAATACCGAATAGTAACCGAATATTCGTTACATCACTAATAGTTATACTTTGTTACTGGAACCTACAATTTCTCATTCTATAAATATAGACCAAGCCAACCTAATTTATAGTAATTACCATCCCTAGTATCTAAAAATACTAAAAGTCCCACCTTCTCAACCTTATATGAATAAACCAATAAATTTCAATGTGAAAAGACACAACAACGACTAAACAAATATTCTCTCTTCATTGGTAACATGTATTGATCTTTCAGGCAACCAATGCCCATGGTGTAAAACGATGACTTCTTGATTCACTATTTACTACAGAATTGTCAAGGACTTGCAAATATACAAAACTCATTTAATATCACGCGAATACTCCAATGTAATCCGGCTCATGATTTCAGAAATATCCTAAATAACTTCAACAAAAAAGACCTTTATAATCTATACAATTACTTCACCAACAATTGTAAAAAAACAGAAAATCTAAGATAACAAATTCAACATGTATTAATATTGTAAAATTTGACTATCTCTGCACAACTACTTTTATTAAAACTGTTTTTTTGTTTGTCAATAACAGGTTGACACAACTTTTTTCATAATAATTGTATAAATTTGCTAACCTGTTAGCTGTTCCAATATTTCGTAAACTTCTAACTAAATCATGTGCAACCCCCTGCAACAGGGATAATTTCCTTTTTTGCAAATAAAAATTGATTGATTATATTATAATGTATTCACCAATGAGGCCAGAGAATGGCAAAATGCATTTGTATAAAAAGGAAAATAAATGATTAAGTATCTGTTGTTTGGTTTATTTTGCCTTAGAAATCTCTTGAAATCAGACAGAACAAGTTTTATACTACTTGCTTATTTTCTAAAGATATTTTATTTTTAGATTTATATTTTTTAAGGAAGTTATTTAATTTAAAGTTTCTATTAATTTATCATTTTGTATTTAATCTCATTATATAAATATTGTATGAAATTCAAACATATAATTTAACGACTGTATAATTTTTACAATATTATTTTATATAGTATTGAAAATTAATAAAAAATACTTTTTATATAAGTTTTAATTTTAATAATTTATAATTACTATTAGAATTTCATTCAAAACTTTTATTTTAAAAATAATCTTAAACAAATATATATTTTAAAACATTACTTAATATTATAAAAGATTAAAGATAAGAATTAAATAACATATTACTGGCTAAATTACTTTATGATTTAACGCAAATCATTCAATTAACAAAAGATACAAGAAAAAATCATAGTAGGTAAGTTTTAATCATATTCAGTATATTTCTTCTTAAAAAACAAATATTAAAATTTTTAGCTTATTAAATATACTCTTATTATTTGAATTTTAGTTGAAAAATATAAAAATGAAATAAAATTTATATTATATAATAAATATAGATTTTAAAGATTATAATTATAATTATAATTATAAAATAGTTAAAATTTAAAATTTGTTAACAATTTATGATAATCGGTTAAGAGAGAAAATAAAAATTTACCTGATTATTATAATCTAAGGGTTTATGATGATGATAATCTAAGTTTATGATTATGATTTAGGTGTAGCTCCAATCTGAAATGAACAATGAAAATCAATTAATTATAAATAGCAGTACAGCAAGAGAAGACTGAATTAGGTTATACACTTATATAAATTCTATGTTACTAGCCCACACTATAATTTTAAATTTAATATTGTCATTCTGTTTTTTTTATCATTAGCAATTGTAAAATTATTAATTTGCTTTTCTCTTTGCAGTCAATTATAATGTGTTCATGGAATTAACTTTGTGAGCCTGTATTTTAGGCCACACTTTTCTTTCAGCTTTAGGTGTTACAGGTAAATATACCATACAGTATATTTACCTGTATTTTTTTTTGTAAGAAAAAAATACATTATATACAGTATATATATATATAATGTATTTTTTCTTACAAAAAGATAATATAATTTATAAAAGATAATTTATTTCCATAAGAAAATCTAGTCGACTACCTGGATTATGTAAAAAAAAAAATTTCTGCTCTAAGATTATCAGCACAAAACCNATCGTATTTATTCGAAACGGCATGGTCTGGATCACTATAGATGGCGGAGATACCAGGAACCATACGTGATCAGGGCGGTCTCTCATTTACGGAACCTAGGGATAGCGATTACGAACATATATCGACAACAGAATCTGCCGCCGACTGTCGAGCAGATGGGCTCGCGGATAAACATTGATGTGTTCAGGACTGGGAGTATTCGTCTACCTGGCGAGGACAGGGTGGCGTTCGACGAGTGGGTGCACAGATACCGAGTTGGGTGGTCTTTAATCGGGACAGATGGGTCGAAGTCACCCAATCGGACGTCGATGGGCGTCTTCATATTGGAGGGGCGGAAGAGTGAGACGTGGGAACTGGATGTTCAGTGTGGGGTATTCGGGGCAGAGGCTGCTGGGATTTTGCGGGTGATGGCTCTGTGTTTCCAAAATCCTTGTCCGACCATTCTAAGTACGGACAGTCGTTCTGTGTTCGAGGCGTTGACTAACGTGGGGTACACTACGGAAGCGATCATCATTGATATTGCGGCGGCTGTGTCGTCTTTCCCTCAGCCTTTTGAGTTCTTATGGACTCCGGGGCACGTTGGTATTGCCCTTAACGAGGACGCGGATAAGGCAGCGAAGGGAGAGTGTTTAACAGGTTCCTGGAAGAGGTCGCTGTTGCCTAAAGACATTCATCGGTTAGTATGGCAGGACACTCGTAATTCGTTACGGGACCACTGGGCTTCGGTCCATAGGAACAGGGGTAGGGAGTATCTCCGTCCTTTTGACCCGTGGCCTTATCACCACGCTTCATCGCGGCGGGCGGAAACACTGCTGGCGAAACTACGGACTGGTACGGCCCCACTCAACTACTTTCTTTATTCGCGTGGTATCGTCCCGTCCCCAAACTGTTTGTTCTGTGGGGAGGCAGAAACTGTTGATCACTTCTGGCTCAGGTGTCCCGAGTATACTACAAGTCGTACGGACCTACTGAAACACTTAAGACTGAACTTACAGACTGTGCGTACTTTGACTCCTCTGTATTGGCCTCAGGCAGACATGTCCTCGAAGTATCATATACGTCTTCTAGAACAGTATATTCATCGATCGGGTCGCTTCACCTAATAAGATGGCGCTGTAATTCGGAGAAAAAGCGATTATAGGCTGCAATCTCCATATAAACGAGAGAGAGAATGATGATGATGATGATGATGAAACCCAATATTGGTCGTCTTCTATAAGACCGACTCTTCCTTACTGTTTCTTCTGGAGTGAAAAGCGCATAGCTATAACACTCCTCTATGAGATATGAGATATGAGATATGAAACCCAATAGTTATTTTGGAATGCGATGTTCGATATTATCTAAGTTAGCTGTGTGTGGACGTAACTGCCGAGATGAGTGATATTTTAAAGAGGAAAAAAAAGGCGACTGGAGGCGCGAACCCAGGACTGCATTGCTGCAACGCAAGCCTGATGGAGGAGCGTTTGAGAGAAAAAACAAAGAAAAAGGCGAATGGTGGTTCGAACTCAATCTGCACGCTGCAACGCAAGACTGATGGTGGAGCGTTTGAGTGGGAAGAAAAAAAGGCTACCAGTGGTGCGAGCCCAGCTGCACGCTGCAACGCAAACATAAGGGTGGAGCGGAACTGACCCGACCACCAGCAGCATTGGCTCAGCAGTCAATGTTTTAGTATATTTATACTTAAAATATACGTAGTACCATCTATTCGTAGGAAATTTAATAAATCGTTATTAAGTGAATATCTACTGTATATAACCAGTTTCTGTCACGGTATGCCAAAACGGCCACTAGGGGCGCCCCTAGCTATTATTTACTAGAGCCCTCTATAAACAGAGTATGGTCAACTGGGGGGTCAAAATATGATTCGATACTGCCGATCACATGGTTTATGGACGCCATTATGTAGCCAGCTTCCCATCCGCTTATGACAAGCGAATGTCAATCAACTATTTATTACGATAAATAACAGAATTGGAAACTTTATATACCAGGTAATTTCGATCTAAAATAGATTCTAAACATCGAGTTAGTTCTTTACTATACTAAGGATAGAAATCATTATTTTAGCCTTTAGATCTGCCGATACATCTATATCGCTCTTAAAGCTACCATATAAAAATAGATCATGCCGGGTTGTTCAGTAATTACTTTTTTAAAAATCTAATAAAAGAATTCTCTAAAATTGAAAATTTAGTTCATATTTAACCTCCTTGTTCGTACTTTTCATTTTAAAATCTTTAATTAAACATATAAAATACTTAAAACTGAAAAAAAAACAAAAGAAATGCGTTAATTTTGAAGAGAAAGCTCCAAAGTTTATTTTCCATTGTCTTGCCTTCGAAATTTGACGCCAGTGAGTAACTGTGTTTACAGTTGAATGACCTTGAGAACAGCTGACATAGTCTTTCGCTGAACATTCTCATAAAATTTACAGGAGGAGAAGGGATTAAAGGTAAATTAAAATCGCGTTAAAATTTTTCGCATGGAAAAAAATTTCTGTAAGTAATTTGGAGATTTAAAAAACATCAAAAATAAAAAAAAAATTTCGGAGGGTCCATAAGACCGTTTGTTTGTAACGCTATGGAACCTGCTCTAGGCGTTCTCGAGCGTGGGCACAAAGGGCTAAGTATGAATTGCTCTGAAAATATTGATATCAAGTCATGATTAATAAAATTTTTGTCAAAAGTACAGTAAATGGATCATTAAAGAGCTTTTTATTTAAAGAATTTTGTAAATATAATTTATATTTGGAATTGGACTTCGAACTCAAATGTGACTTTTAAATATTCACTTGGCTTTATTTCCATTACTTTTTAGTTGATCGATGATACCAATCCGATGGGCTGGACACATTATTCTTTAGATGGAGGTCGAACTCCAAAACTCACGTTTGATAAATATTCCAGTATATTTGTCAAACACGGTTTTAAAAACAACATAGATAAATTATATTTGGAATGTTTTCTATCTGTTTAAAACATTCTTACATAATTTAAAAATATTTCCGTTTTAATATTAAATTAACTGATTTTAAATACCAATATGGTCAGTTCATATGTTTTACAAAATTGTGAATTTTATTATGTTTTACAGATAAACTTGTACTCTTGACTTTCATTGACATCATTGTAACATTTTTATGAATTTATTGTAATCAATCTCTGTCCCAATACGACTATATGTTTTGTATTCAGAATTATAATATAAATTCAAAATGTTTCAGGCAAATATTTATAAACCATAGAGGGCATAAAATTGGTGTCAATTAAGGTTCTATATTTTATTGTATTTTTATGATTATAGCTTTCGGTGTAAACGGATTTCAGCGATTCGTCAAATTAAGTGGTGTCAAGGATATTTTAAGCTTTCCTACTTGCAATGCAGTAAAATACAATTATACGTGTTTTAAATTTGAGGTTGTTCTGGAACCGTGTGTAGTACCGCTGAGTTTATTAATACATAACAATTTTAATAAGAAATTACAATCTTTTATTAGTGAGTTTATAGCTAAGTTTTGATTTACCATATTGATAAAGATTTGTAATGTAAAAACGTTATTTCTTGATTTTTTGTTGGAAATCTTACATAAATGAAAGTATCAAACGTAAACAGATTGAATTTTAACAACATCACATAATTGTTGATTCTTCTTTTCCTTTGAATGTTACTAAAATCAGTAAAATGTCAATGTTATTTTTTTACTCCCTTTGGACTAATGTTTTCTTTATTATATAAAGAGTTTCGTCAGATCGGATCTTCATAATTTTATTTGAATTTTTTACTTCATACAGTCAGGCGGTTATCTAGAATCTAATATGAAAAATAAACATCACTTAAATATTCAATTCAATTTAATTCAATTCTTTATTGTTTCAACCGTACTTCGTTACAAGGGAGTTACAATAAGCTGAAACTTATGCAACATAATAAATTAATATAATAGATTAATACAAAATATTAAAAAATAAAATACATACTTTGATACAGAAAACTGAAATGAGTACACTTTATCAACTTAATGTAATTGTCTAGTGCAAAATAATACAAAATGAAATTCACATAAGTAATCATTTTTATAAAAATGTGATATTATTATGTCTTTGCAGGATTTGAATCTTATCAAATACTTTTTCTGCTTGCTTCAAATTTTGTACAATAAAAGAATCACATGATAGTTTAAAGTCCATAAACGAATAAACCTCACATATAAAAGTAGTTTTAACACTACGATATAATTGAGAATGTTTGTTTTTCCACAGAACACCAATCTTCTTGTATGGTTGGATCACAGCACACTCTTATATTTAACGTTTGATTGTTTTCGATGAAATGAGGTTCATGAGACAACCATAGGAAAGAGAAATCGTGTCGATCTAGCAAATTTTTCAACGCCAGCGAACAATTATATGTAGAATTATCGAACACAATTTATACATTTTGTATATCTTTCGTCATCTAATTTCAANACAACTTAATGTAATTGTCTAGTGTAAAATAATGCAAAGTGAAATGCACATAAGTAATCATTTTTATAAAAATGTGATATTATTATGTCTTTGCAGGATTTGAATCTTATCAAATACTTTTTCTGCTTGCTTCAAATTTTGTACAATAAAAGAATCACATGATAGTTTAAAGTCCATAAACGAATAAACCTCACATATAAAAGTAGTTTTAACACTACGATATAATTGAGAATGTTTGTTTTTCCACAGAACACCAATCTTCTTGTATGGTTGGATCACAGCACACTCTTATATTTAACGTTTGATTGTTTTCGATGAAATGAGGTTCATGAGACAACCATAGGAAAGAGAAATCGTGTCGATCTAGCAAATTTTTCAACGCCAGCGAACAATTATATGTAGAATTATCGAACACAATTTATACATTTTGTATATCTTTCGTCATCTAATTTCAAAAGTCGAATCCAAAATGAAACTATTGTTTTTATTATTATTACCGATATTTTAGAGATATCTTAATCCTTGCCAAGAAAGTTACGTAAGTTTTGCTTCATTATTGCTTCATTATTTTCGAAGCATTTATTCGCTCAATATTTAATTATATGTCTTTAAAAATCAAATTGCTACTTTACATGATGTTTTTTAATTGTAATATTCGTCAGACATTCTACAAATTCAAAATTTATATTAAATATTATTAAAATTTTTTATAAATTTTTAATAATATTTAAAATAATTATTAAAATTTTTGATAAATTTTTAATAAATTATTTTGTACGCTTCTGAAGAAACAAATTTTTCAATTTGAATGAGGAATTTGAGGAATTTGAATTTTAATTTTAAATGAGGAATTTGAGGAATGAGGAATTTTAATTTTAATTTTTAAAAATCTTTCTTTCAGAAAGATTTTTAAAAATTAAATAAAGTAATCTGCGTTATTCAATGTTCTTGAATTGTTTTGATGTTGATGGTTTATCAGAATTCGAAGTATTTTCTTCCTCTGTCTCTAGTCTCCTCATCTGGAGAGAAATTTCGGCAGCGCTTAATACATCTTGATTTGTTGTTTGATGAGCCAAGGTTTGACTGGAAGTCTGCCAATTTGACTTCAGCTTTACTTCTTCCGAAAAACTAATGTTATTCGATTAATAGTTGATAGATTTATAATGAATATTGGAATATATAAGTAAATAATATTATGTTGCACGTAAGTGGTGCACAGTCAACGTAGTGGTGATGGAATTTATAATTTCGAAATATTTACAGTTTAAATATCCAACATTTGTTTTATAGATCAGCGATGTTCAACCAGCTGCCCACTCGATGTTTTTTGCGGTCTTTTTAAAACAATAATCATCTTGTATAGATTTTTATTACAATTAAATATGACATGTATAGTTTTAAAAATTAATATGATGTATAACATCTTACACGTACAATCAGAAATTAAAACAGTATTTAACGTTTTTAACAAAGCTTCAAATGTATTCCATATACTATATATGTATGTGCAGTACATACTGCATATATATGTATTTAATCAGTATGTTTAGAACAACAAATAACATATTAAAATGGTTGTTCTTTTCTAAGAGATGTCAGGTGCTTTGTTAAAGCTGATAACCATCGAAAACTTT